CGAATGTCGATATCCTGAAACAGAAAATCCCGGGACTGGAAATCCCGAATCCTAAAATCCCGAATGTCGAAATCCTGAAATTTAAAATCACGAAACTTAAAATCCCTAGTATTAAAATCCCGAATTTTAAAATCCCTAAACTTAAAATAGCGAATGTCGAAATCCTGAAACTTAAAATCCCGAAACTTAGAATCCCGAATATTAAAATCCCGAATCTTAGAATCTCGAATGTCGAAATACTGAAACTTAAAATTCCGAAACTTCAAATCCCGAATCTTAAAATACCGAATGTCGAAATCCTGAAACTTAAAGTCCCGAATATTAAAATCCGAATCTTAGAATCCCGAATGTCGAAATAGTGAAATTTAAAATTCAGAAACTTCAAATCCCGAATCTTATAATACCGAATGTCAAAATCCTGAAACTTAAAATCCCGAAACTTAAAATCCCGAATCTTAGAATCCCGAATGTCGAAATACTGAAATTTAAAATTCCGAAACTTCAAATCCCGAATCTTAAAATCCTGAATGTCGAAATCCTAAAATTTAAAATCACGAAATTTAAAATCCCGAAACTTAAAATCCCGAAAATTAAAATCCCGAATCTTAAAATCCCGAATGGTGAAATCCTGAAATTTAAAATCCCGAAACTTAAAATCCCGAATCTTAAAATCCCGAATGTTGAAATCCTGAAATTTAAACTCCCGAAATTTAAAATCCCGAATTTATAAAATCCCGAAAGACCAGAATCCCGAAAAATAATCTTTGGAAGAAATTGAAAAAAAATGTTGGAAATACCTTTATCCCTAAACGTTTAGAAAATAGTGTTTAAATGGTGTTTATACATTTAAAATATTTTAAATCCATTAAAAATATATAAAACCAGACTCTCCAGTCATAGAATAGATGCTTTTCTCAATTATTTGCTAACTAATAGGTTCATGTACAGCCTTGTGCAAATTAATTGAAACAAAAGGAATAGTTCCATTATTATTTACATTTTTTCGTATTTTTCCAATGAAACATGACCCAGTACACATGTTAGTACTTCGTCTATCCATTTCCCGAAGTCGTTTCTTGCAAATTGACCACAGATTCTCGATTGGACTTAAATCAGGAATGTTTCCGGACCAGTCTATAGTATTTTGATTTCCTCACTGGTAAGGCTTGCCAGTGTGTTCGTGAATGGTTACAATTTTCGTACGCTTCCTTGGAATAAAGTCCATCGCAGACAATGGCCGTAGGACAACTAATCGACAGTCGAGACAATAGTGTCTGGGCGTGATAAAAATCTGCTGAAATCACGGATGACGCAATATTTTTCAAGGATAAACATATTTCATCATACACACCACTGCAAATGACCTCAGCAGAGGAAAATAGAAATCAATTACACTCTGTCACTCCAGTGGGTCTAAAACTGACCGTATCATGAAAGAAAGGAAACTAAAGCGGTTGTCTCAATTAATTTACATAAGGGTGTTGCTCTTTGTTAATGGCCGGTCATCTGAAGCTCATGAGTTCAATGCTGGCGTTCTCCAGGACTCGCTTCTCTTTCATACCATTTTTCTGCCTTATATAAACGACTAGCAGCAGGGCCTGGCGTTGCCCGTGCTTGATTCAAACGACTCATACAGCAATCGCTATCACTTGACTTAAAATATTTTTGCCTTTCCTTGCCTTTAAAGGAGTGTCCTTTTCCGTGCTGATGTTGCTACATGCCTTACTTCTTGCCTATCTCACACTGCGAATTTTTTCTAAGCTCTATACTAAACATTAAATCTGTTATGAAAAAAGAACTAAACAAAATGAACACAAAATGATCAGCTTTAAAAAAAGGAGAAACCGAATGAAAAAAGAATGTTAACAACAAATACTTCTTCACACCCAACCCAGGTCTGTGGAATCAGAATCGACGTTGAGTTTGAGCAAGCGAATGAGGCAATTGGAGTAAAGTGTCATGCAGATTTAAATTTTGCCCACTTGTGACGAATGCAGCTATCGATTTTTCGCATGCTGACATGCTAGTTAACATTCGTGTCAGTCAGCTGTTGGCTCTCACGCTGGCCAATAGAATCTTCCTGCCTATTCGTGGCAGCCAGCTATAGGCTCTCACTCTGGCCAGTAGATAATGGCCGCAAACTACATGAAAACTGCCGTAGAAGCATGAAAATATCGATTATTTCCACTATCGATGGGAGTTGGGAAATGCAAAATCGGTCTTGGCTTTCCCGCTAACTTGGAGCATGGTGCAAATCCGTCAAAAATTGCGGCCGTGTATTCGTTACACACACACACATCCTGCCTTTTATAGATAGAGATCTGCCCAAGAATATGCCCAGATCTTCAGTAAATATATATGCAAATTATATAATAGTGTATAAGTTCACCTCCAAAAGTCTGGATGACCAGTCCGCTGATCACGCCGATGATCGAGCCCTTGTGGACAATGGAGGAATGACTGGCAGGCAATAACTCTAAAGTCAAACGAATTATGTTCCACTGAAATTTCAAGTTCAGCCAGATGTCGAGTAAATCATATGTACGATACATCCACAAAAATTACTGAAAAAGTGTTGGTACTTCAGTTAGCTACGTGCCATGCGTGATTCACGCGTAGGTGATGATATATCTTTCGATACATGACTGACGAGGCAGATTTTTCCAGTAGTAGGTTGCCATTTCTTTCTGCGGTAGGCCAGTTGCCATCCAAGACGATAGAACTCTCTCTATCCTGATATTTACCCATAGCTGGAGGGAGAAGAAGAGGATCCATACCTTTCCCAAGGCCATTAGCACGTAAATGGATTTGTTTGGATTTCGAACTCTCCTCTCTGATTCCTCAATCCGAGCCGTACCTCCCCGGGTAAGTACCTTACTCTTACTTTTATACTCTGTATTTACAAATCAGAAACAAAATGGAGTATTGCTGTCATATCTAACCTGGAGCTACCTAGTCCACGAGGGCTTATGGATGATGATTTATTTTCCACTCGGCAACCACTCTCCCCACAGGATAATATTCGAGGCTAAGACCCGTCATCCTACTTAGACTGGATCGAATTAGTCTCATACCTTTTGTATAACATTAGTAAGAAAGAAGTTCCTCAAGGACTGCGACTTTGTGGGACAAACTCCCGCCAGTGTGTTTTCCTAGATCATTATAATCTTAATCATTTCAATTCTTGGATTAACCATTATCTTTTCTACATAATATACTGTATTCTTCCTCTCTCTTCCTACGCTCATAAAACAACGTCATTGACGATCCCTCTACCTTGAGTGGCTCTTGGGTCTTGTATTGTGTAAACATTAGTAAAAATAGATCGATCATTCTTTAACTTCATGTTGTTATCGATACTGTGACTTTTGGTGGCAAAAATCGGAAAGCCGAATTCGAATTCCAGTCGAATCCATTACGTTTTACTTACTTCCATTGGGAAAGGTATGAATTCTCTTTTTCTCCCCCTAGCTATGGGTAAATATCAGGATGGACAGGGTTCTATTGGGTGGCAACTGGTCTAACGCAAAAAGAAATGGCAACATACTGCGGAAAAAAATCTGCCTCGTTAGTCCTGTCCTCGTTAGCGATAAGTGGGCGAAAGTGTTCGTCTGAATGGGGCTAACCTTGATTTTCCCTTCTAGGTCAACCTACGTCACATAGGGGTGGTTTCCTGTGGAGCCCTCCCCTTGGTTAGGTTAGACAAGATTTGTGTACCTAGTTAATCTGAGTAAGTATTGTTCCTGGCCTGTCCCCGGACACATCTTTGGTTATGATCCAAATTGAGATTCCCAACCTCCCCAGTTTGTTTTGGCCCCCTTTTAATCTCGACTGGGTCAGCTTTTTATTTCCTATGTCCGTATATTTTTCTCACTCCCTTAGCAAGAGAGCCTCTTGATTTTCTCCAAGTGTCAAAATACAGCGGCCTCTCTTTTTTGAGGGTTGGGCGGGCCCTAGTAATATCAGTTATGTTTAGTTTACTTTGTGTTTATATTTAGTTTGTTTTGGGGTTCATTCCATCCCCTCTCATTCTATCCATAAATTTTTAAGTATATATTTTATAATCATTTGATTTTTATGGCATGGGGAGCATTTTGTAGGTTCCCCTTGAGATGATGCGGTATTATGGTGTATGGAGGATTGATTGGTGACGGACGAGTTCTAATGGTGAATGTGGAAATTGTAATGTGTGAATGGGTCGTGAATCAGATTAGCTAGATATAAGATAGTTAGTGATGACCAGCCTCAACCCCTCCCCATTTTGGCCTTGTGCCTCAATTGTATTTTAAATACAATAAATAATAATAGCAGGACAGACCGGGTTCTATAGCCTTGGATGGCAACTGGTCTACCACAGAAAGAAATGACAACCTACTGCGGGAAAAAAAATCTGCATCATCAGTCATGTATCGAAAGATACATGATCGGCTAAGCGTGTATCACGCATGGCACATAACTGACTGATATTCACTTACGTGCTAATACCCTTAGGTAAGGTATGAATCATCTTCTTCTCCCTTCACCTATTGGTAAAATAGCAGGACAGAATGAGTTCTATAAACTTGTATGACAATTGGTCTACCGCAGAAAGAAATGGCTACCTACTGCGAGAAAAAACTGCCTCGTCAGTCATGTATCGAAAGGTACGTGATCGTCTAAGCGTGTACTACGTATGGTACATAACTGACTGATTTGAACTGTATAAGCAATAAATAATAAGCTTATATATTTTTATTTTATATTGTCCTTATTTTTCAACAATTTCAAATCAGCTTGCATCTATCGATCATAATAATTTCAGTCCTCTTAGTTTGGGAATATGTCTCGCTATCAGTTTGTTTTCATCTGTCAATAAAAAGAAAATTTTCAGAGTCTGCTATCATCGATATCAAGTTCGACCCAGTTCATAGACCTCAGTCTGTTCGGATCTAATAATCTGCAACGTTGTGCCAATTCATCAATGTCAATATGTTGCTATATGTCTATAACATTCTATCAGGATGTGCAAATTCATTGATATCTATCTGTTCGTATCTGTCTATAAAGTTCATGTCTCTATAAAATTCTGTCAGTCGGTGCCAATTCGTCAATATTCTTGCTTTTGTATCTGTCAATAAGAATCATAGCCTGCGAGGATTCAGTCACTTTCCCAGCGTTGTAACATAGCTTCCCTGTGCCTTTCCTATAAATATTTTCATGTCATTGTTCTGATGTGCTTGCCACTTTTGTACCTAGATATTACGAATTTAAACATCGTATTAGATTGGCGGCAAGCTCTCAACATTTTAACGGTGAAATGGCTAGATCTAAGTGCTATGTTACTAGTTTCTTCTCTGTCTTCTTCTGGTTTGTGGAACTCACTTCCGGCATTTTGTTTTCCAGTCATCTTTGATCTTTAAACATTTGACTGTAATCTCAATCGTTGTTTCCTGTATTAATTTATTTTTCATTGAATATTGGTGTCGCATCTGATTTGACGGTTTTCTGTGTATTAAAATTTCTTGACAAAATTCAAAGACTCCACAGTATTATTGAACCTTACCTACCGAATCGTCTTCATTCATTTTTCCACTGCCAGAATGTTGCTTACTGTGCCTTTTCTAGAAATATATTCATTATATTTATTCTGATGAGCGTCCATCTTTGATACCAGGGCTTTACAAATTTAAGCAAAGTAGTAACAAAGAAAAGAGTACTGAACTCTTACTTGATATCTGTCCTCCTGCATGACAGCGAATGCTGGACAATCTTCTCAAAGATGAAGAGTCTAGATGCAACAGAAAGATGGTACTACAGAAAGATGCTGAGGATACTATGGACCAAACATGTCAGCAACAACGAGGTTTTCAAGAGAATGGAAACAAAAAGGAAACTTATACAGTAGAATCCCTCATATCCGGAATCACTCATATCCGGAATTACTCATATCCGGAATCCCTCATATTCGGAATCACTTATATCCGGAATCACTCATATCCGGAGTGCCTTATATCTGGAATCCCGTATATCCGGAATACCTCATATCCGGAGTGCCTCATATTCGGAGCGCCTTATATCCAGAATACCGCATATCAAGGCATGATTTTGATCTGGAAATTTGAACTATTTGTGTGATATGTAAATGATTTGAAATTTCTGTTTTGCAGGAAATTTACTTTGGATAATTGCCTATGCTTATTTCACCCTAATGGCTTGTATGGGTCCAAAAGATGATGGGAAGAAGAGGAAAGGTTGACAACGAGACACATCTGCAACAAGATAGCGACGAGATGCATGATTGTGATGAAACCTGCACTGAAATTGAAAAAGGCTATTGAAAAGGTTGTCAGTTTTATGGAAAGAAAGCCAGCATTCAGGTATGACGATTGCAACAACGCACGCAGGTTTAAAAAGTGTCTTTCGTCTATAAAATCTCACGAACAAAAGCAAAACGAAATGCGGAAAAATTTGAGAATGACATTAGAAGAGAAAGAATCATCATGCAACAGCGATTAAAAAATCCTCGTTACATTATTTGTTTTGCATACGTGGCAAACTTAATTTAATGAATTTTCATTAACATAATTTATTTCTTTTTCCTTAAAATCAATTCTGTTATATTTCACTCACCATTAGCTTATTTTGTTCACTATAAAACATTGAAAATAAACGTTTAAGCCGATTTCAGTTCTTTTTATTTTAATCTAAATATAACCCGTCATATCCTGATTTTTTAATCACTTCCTCATATCTGGAAGGCCTTCTTAGTTGGGATGTTAGGGCCTTTACTGTGCTTAACATCAGGAAGAATCAGTTGAAATTTCTGGGGCACCTAATGGGGCAGGAAGGCTTGGAAAATCTGATACTCTCAGGGCAGAATGAGGGAAAGGGGGATAGACGAAAGCAGAGCGTAACATATTTGATAAGGTTGAATAAATGGATGTTAGGACAGGGTTTGAGAGAAATGGCAAAAAGATAAAACTTATTAAGAGCTACAAGGTACAGGAAGATGTGGAGAGCCATGATCAACTACGTCCTGAAGGGACACTTTACATAATGGAAGAAGACAAGATTGGCAGCAAGTTCTCATCATTTTACAAATGAAATGGTAACTTTAACCGTGTGTTCTATGCTAACGCAAGCTTCTACCCCCGAACTTCTCGTTTATGGGAAACTTCTCTGGTGTCAAGTTTCCCAGTGAACTTTGAACTTCAAAAATGTAAATGCATCATCTGTCTTCTTAATTCCGATTCTTTCATTGTTCTAATTATTTTATTCGTATTCTTCTATTCTTATTCTTTTATTCGATTTAATCCATTCTCATTCTTTCATTCTCATAGCTTTCATTCTCAGTCTTTCACTGTTTTCAATCTTTAATATGTTTTCTTTGGTTTTCTCTTATCCTTTCAAAATCAGCACCGCCCATGCGGCGTAGTGGCTTTATAGCCTTGCCTGGGGTGAAATGATTAAAAAGAAAAATCTGACAGTGTCTGTCTATTCGACTTTTTGTTTATACATTTTAATCGCTGCAAATCTACATATCGTACCCTTTGTCTATCTAAGAATTTGCACAACATTTATCTCGCTTTATCCATTATATATATATATATATATATATATATATATATATATATATATATATATATATATATATATATATATATATATATATATACATAAATATATGTAGATATGTAAAATTTGCAAACATTTATATCCCTTTAACCAATATATATATATATATATATGTGTGTATATATATATCAGTACACACATATGTATATATATAGAAATATATAATACCTTTGTCAATGTCTCCCATTAGCCTGTTTAGTCCCAAATCTACATATCGTACCCTGTGTCTATCTAAGAATTTGCACAACATTTATCTCCTTTATCAATATATATATATATATATATATATATATATATATATATATGTATATATGTACATATCTAAAATTTGTACAACATTTATTTCACTTTATCCAATATATATATATATATATATATACATATATATATATGTGTGTATATATATACACATATATATGCACACACACACACACACACACACACACACATATATATATATATATATATATATATATATATATATATATAATACCTTTGTCAATGTCTCCCATTAGCCTGTTTATTCCCATCTCTCAATTTATCTTTGTGTTTGTTCATTCTTTGAGCGGATACTTGATTGATTAAACTTCTGCTTCGTCCATTCATTGAATTCTGACCATAACTTTTATTCTATTATTCCTTGCTATATTTTATAGCGCATTATCTTTGCTTATTGGCGTCTCTCCTTCTCTCTCGTTTCTCTTTTCTTGTGTACCACTTACGGTTTTGCATCTACCGATTTTACTCCGTTGACATCAGGCTCCTTATCTATATACCGTTTATTATCTATACATACCTATGGACGTATCGTTTCCAATGTCGAACGATCAGGATAGCATAATTATTAATTTTCGGCGCGATGCATCGGCGTTTAATTTGGCAAATGTCCAATGGGTTTAGGGTTGGTTGTAAAAGTTGTTGGTATTAGTTTTTTTTTTTTTTTCTTTCGAGCGAAAATTAAAATTGGGGTTTTGGGTAAAGTCCTACTGAGCTAAAATGACGTAATTAATTAACCTACGAGTTCTTTAGAGAGGAGGTTACCTAAAATTTAAAAGCCGCCAGATTTAGGATTAGAATTAACCAGCGGAGGAGATTAGACACAAAGATAAAAATGTTAAGGAAACTTTATGCAGCAATAGGTTAATTTCGTCATTATTATTACTGAATATATATAAAACAGAGGATGTCTGTCTGTGTCTGTCTGTGTGTGTGATACATTTTCACTCGAGATCCATCCAATCAATTTTGACTAAACTTGACACGTACATTGTACCATGTAAGAGATAGGGTCTTAGCGTAAAAAATCAATAATCGATAAGCCAATCAGAAATCGATAAATTCAACTTTTCACCTCCACTTTCGTTCAAACTTGGTATGTAGGTTACTTCCATCATGACGAGCTCAACGATACCTCATTTTTATTTCTACGGCACTGCGTTTAGCGAAAAACTGCGAAAAACGAAAAATCGATTCCAACACAAATCTATTTCAATACAAATTTTAAAATAAAAACTCCCTCAATTTTCAAGCAATCTAATACAAACTCCACTCATTTGTAGCCAACAATAAGTTGATTGCTTAACAGTCATTTAACTTGATAACTGAGTCAACCCATATAGGGAAAAGCCGCGAAAATAGCGAAAACATGGCAATTTTTACTGGTTTCTTTCTTATTCTTCGTTGATCTTTCAACCAATTTTCATCAAATTTAACAATTGCTTTATAAATGTATCCTCTTTTACATCCCTGGTAGCACACTGAGAAATTGAATTTCAAAAACTCCAAAATAATTGTGACCTGAAGTAGGCCTTCATGTTGCCTGTTTTACTCCTTCATGTCCTCGGCTAACTTCGATTGAATAAATACAGACTACTTCTGTTATACCAGTAACGGCATTAATTCAAAATGTTTTCTAATGAAATTACTTTAAAGTAATTGAAGAAGATAGACCCTGTTACATCGAAACATGATGCTGTTTTTGCTCCATTCTAATTGAACGCTTGTTCTTATCGACCTGCTGGGTGGCTGGTAGTATGATTTAAAAAAAAACATCAGCCGGTCAGAAGGGAGATAGTATATTACTTTGGAAAGACGTGCGCAACATTCAGTTTTTAGGCGATTCGTCGAAATCCAGAGGTGGTCTCAAACATTTGTCATATCGTCTGCGAGTAGTGGGAGTTTTTAAAAAAATCACCAACACAAAAAACTGAACAAAGGATTTTCTCTTTTTTTCTTTTGTCTCCTACATGTGCGGTTAAATTTTTCAAATTACTTGAAAATCCGATTCGATATTTTCTTACGCACCTCTCGCTCTCTTTCGCTCTCTCTCGCTTTTCCACTCTCACACTCTCTTACCTCTCTCTCTCTCTCTCTCTCTCTGTATATCTCTCGATCTCGCTCTTTCTCTAGATCTCTCTTGATCTCTTTCCCACTCTCTCTCTCTCTTTCTCGCTCTCTCTCTCTCTCTTACTCTCGTTCTCTCTCCCTCACGCTATCTCCCACTCTCTCTGCTCTTTATCTCACTCGCACTCTCTCTCTCCCACTCTCTCTCCACTATCTCCCTCGCGCTCTCTCGTCAATCTCTCGCTCTCTCTCTGTCCCACTCTCTCTCTCCCTCTCGCTCTCTCTCTCCCTCTCGCTCTCTCTCACTCTCTCTCTCTCCATCTCTCTCACTCTCCCACTATCTCTCTCCCTCTCTCCCTCTCCCTCTCTCTCTCACTCTCTCTCTCCATCTCTCTCACTCTCCCACTATCTCTCTCCCTCTCTCTCTCTCTCTCTCTCTCTCTCTCTCTCTTTCTCTTGTATATACGCACAAACTCACCGCAATAGTAGCTAGACTATTTGAATTTAAGCACTGTACTAGACTGGCGTCAAGATCCCATCATTTTAGACGTAGCCGTACATTTTCTCCTAACAGTTTATTTTCTCGCACTTCTCGCTTGTGGAACTTCTTTCCGGCTATGATAACCGTTTCTTTTATCGCACATCTCGTTTGCAGTACCCTCATTCGGCATCTTGATTGCCAGTCAACTTTGATCTTCAAAACTTTAAGTGCAATGTCAATCGTCATCCTCTTAATTCTTTTTCTTTTATTGTCCTCGCCCCTTAATAGTATATTTGTTTCATATTCTCTAACAGTCAATAAACACTTGCGTCTTAGTGGCTTTATTACCTTGCTTGGAGTGAAATAATAAAAAAAATAATATGACAATAAATGCTGCACAATATACTCGCAGATTAGAGGTCAGAGGAATGGGGTTCTACAGAAAGATTCTGAAAATACTATTCCTGTTATCTATTTGTTCTCTCTTCTTTGTTTTTGTTTTTTTTTTTCATATTCTTTCATACTTAATAACTCCTTGCGGCTTAGTGACTTTATTGCCTTGCTTGGGGGGATGATTAAAAAAAAGACCGATTAGAATAATCTCACATCAACATACATATGGTGACAGATAAACCTTACTCATATTATAGGCGCTCCTTCATCCTTCGTTTCGGCGTCCATGGTCCACTTTTTAGACAAGCATTCGATTGTAGAGATGGCTATTAAACAACCGAAAGAATATAAAATATTAAGAATGAAAGACAAGCCATTAAAATCGCAAATTAAATTCTACTGACTTGCATCTATCCCGTCGAAATATCTATATATGGATTATTGTATCTACGCTCTTCGCTTTTGTCCAGAAGTGTTATGTCATTTGTTGCGGTCCCGAGAGAACAATGAATTTTATTGCTTCTTATAATCGCGTGCTTTGAATAAGTCTGATATGACATCATCATCCCAAACCAAACTCCATTCTTTAATAAGATAATTGGACTCTTGGTAAGAAGTAGGATTGTCGTTTCTCCAAAGAAAACACTCTTCTCCGAAGAATATATGAAATCAAAACAGACAAAATATTTAGACAGCTGTTTGCAAGAATTTACTCAAATCCTTCGACTGAATTTCTATGGAAATGGTAATGGTAATATTAGCCGTTTCCTTATAAAGAAACATTTGGCATTCATTGACCAATCAGCCAGTACTACTTTCGGTTGAATTTTATAAAATCTTTCTCCTGAAATAATTTTACTTTACGAAAATAAGTTTCTCAGATGTAGTAGCTTTTAGGACTCTTTCCAGTATTGATGACGGTTTCCTTCCTAACCTTTTGTACGAAGTGGTGTAGAATGCTAACACCTTGATTATGTCAGAAATTTCTGTTCGAGTTATATGTGCTATCTATTTTGGTTGTTCCTGCTGCTGGTAGTCCTAAATATGTGCAAAGTAAGGACCTCTTTTGAACGGTTCAGATAGATAGATAGATAGATAGATAGATGAACAAGTTGAGATAGATAGATAGATAGATAGATAGATAGATAGATAGATAGATAGATCAACAGACTGTGATAGACACACAGACAGACAGACAGACGGACAGAGCGAGATAGATAGATAGATAGATAGATAGATAGATAGATAGATAGATAGATAGATAGATAGATAGATGTTGACAGAATTGGATAGAGAGATATAGAGAGAGATGAATAAAAATGAGATAGATAGGTTTGATTGAATCGTTTTCTACGGCTTATCAACCCTTTGCATGTTATTTAAAGCCAGGAAATAGTTTTTAGATTGTAAGAATTTGTGCAAGTAGGGGATAATAATGGTTTAGTGATACAAGTCTTACTAATTAGTCCATAACTTGGGAGAAAAATGGTTGAATTCTTACCTTTCGCTAGGTCATTTGCAGGTAAGAATATAATGAATCCAACAGGTATTAGAATTCGGCTCTCCGATTAATAATACCTGGGAATTATTTATCCCTTCCACCACCTGCTCATCTAAGATTACAGTAACTTTGCTTTCAGGATACGCTTGCACTCATTACGGGCAGAGTTAAAGGGACGTCTGTTGCATTCAGAGATGTTGTTCCGGTACAGACGGAAGAAGAGATTCCTATGGGCTATAGGGCCAGAGCAAGCAGGTGAGAACCAAGGAGATGAGCGCGATTCAGTTCGAAATTCCAACCACCTGAAGAAGGCCGGAGCGTACAACGGCCGAAACGCTGTGACAAATATGGCGACAAAGATGAGGACAATAGTCCGACTAATGTAAATACTGTAGTTTAGGTTTGTAATTTTGGTTGCTTTTGCTCATGTTGAGTAACGTTGGTAAGGAAAAGGCCAAAATAATAGTAGCAGTCGGTCATCAAACGTGACATGAGCAGAAAGCAAAGAAGTAGCCTCAGGGGCATCTATCCATGCGGGACATGGCACTCCAAGAATCCCGATATTATGCAACTATTGATCAGAACAGCCTGTAAAGACTCTACGAAAGATTGCGGGCTCCTAACGACCAGTCGGGCACAGCAACCAAAATACTGCCGACCCGGTACCCCCAGTTGTCACAAACCGCACGCATCACAAGACATTCACGACAGCACTCCTACTAAGGCCAGAGAAAAGGTAAGTATCCGGGAATATCTTCCTAAACAGGGAACAAGAGATGAGTGTCTACTCTTGTTCAAAAGAAGGGGGAGTGGTATTAACCGGGCGATAGGAAAGCATATTTGCGCCTATTGAAGTTGTGGTTTCTTTCCTCTAATGAGGCTATTGTGGACTCTTCCACCTACTATAAAATTAGTAGGAAAGTAAGTCTCGGGGGATCTGTGCATCAAACTGTTCAACTGTCGAACTCTCTGCCTTAAGCAGAGACGAACACGGACGAGACTTTGCCGAAGGGCAAAGTTCCGTCCGGGGTGTTACGGTTTTTTGGGTATATATTATATAATTAGTGAGCGAGTCAAAATGACTTATTTCCCTTTATAGTCTACCAATAGAAGATTAACCAATCAGGAGCCGCAGAACACTGTATCCGTCGTGTATAAAGGCGGCCATCTTTGTTTTCCCTACCGGAAGGACCAGTGCCAACTTGTCAGGTGAGCACAACAGAAGGAAGAACTACACTCTGCTGTGATATCCACTGCGAATCTGAACTAGGCTTTCCTACTGTCTCCGAAATATTCACTGCCAACCTCTGGATTCTATACTCGAAGACGACCGTCATGAAAATGTCTAACACGGGGATGTTGAGAGACCCTGAACCCGTTTATGTGGGTTCTAAGATAATATTTTTGGCAGAACTCACGGGCTCGAGGAACCCATGGTAAACTCGGCCTTGCGCCACATTCATCCCTCGTGGTGGGAGCTGTTAAATATTAACAGTGCTCCAGACTGTTCAACTGTCGAACTCTTTGACTTAGGCAGAGAGAAACCCGGACAAGGCTTTGCCGAGGGGCAAAGTTTCGTTCAGGGAAAGGTGAGGAGACATACCCTGAACCCGTTTATACGGTTTGGGGCAGAGAAGAACCCGGACGGTAGACAGACCCGAACCCGTTTATGCGGTTTCTACGAGGACTTTTTGACTGAGCCTACGGGCTCGGATGACCCACATTAATCTCGGCCTTGTGCCACATCTACCCTCAAGGGGGGGGTCTACAAAATATCAACAGCAGTATAGATTGAACGCTCGTCAACGGACACACACTCCCAAGTCGTGTATTACTCTTCTGTTGTATTCATTGTTCAATACACAAATTTATCTGCAACCTCTTGTTTTGTTATTTATTAAGCATTTACCTGGCTACAACATAAACAAAAAAAAAACAGACCAAAACAAACAACAACAAAAAAAAACAAAGACAACAACAACAACGGGTATGGTAACACAACTGGAGAGCAAAGTTGGGCTGGTAGCCACCGTGAGAGTTATGTATGTATAGATCAGTCGTAGGCTAGAGGTCTAAAAGTCACAGTGGGAGGAGAGGATAATGGGTGATGCTTGACCATTCACTACACCCGCCCATATGGATTGTTATAGATGGATCGAAGAGAAGTCGAAGGGACTATGGATAGGGATGTTGACCAGGTTCACCATAGTCTATGAATATAGAATACAGCGCAGTACGTAATCTGTTCAATGAAACAACGTTAAAGATTAACACTCACGAGTCAAACACTCCACTGAATCTGACTATATCGTCAATACCACCAGCAGCTCTTCCGTAATTCTTCAGTCTTCGATATCAAAGGCTGCCAGTGAATATTCGGTAAAAACATGGCTGCCTTTATACACGTCACATTGAATATTTTGAGTCTTCTGATTGGTTAACCCTTTTATTGGTGAACTATAAAATGAGTCAGATCATTTTGGCTGGCTCACTAATACACCAGGGTACCCAAAAATTCCAGCAAGGGAATCTGGAATGTAAATATAAAGATTTAATTAGTTATTTCTTGTAGAAGAGAACACTCTAACGGTCTGTGAACCATGATTAAAAAATAACGTTAACAGGTGTAGTTGATTTTGATATTTATTGACACTCCCTTGTTTGGCCTTGTGTCAGACTAAACTAAGCTTACCAAATATTTTAAGCATCATTTTATCATAGAGTAGCATAATGGGCTGCCAACTCATTGTTAATGGTGTGCGAATTAATTAGTCTGGCTGACCCACACATTACGACTTGTGCCAGTATAAATTTAATAATACGGTAATAAAATTATCGATTATAAATATTTAAATAACCGATGATCAAATGAGAGAAAGGAACATAAGAAATGAAAAGAAGCTCTCTACCTAAAAAAAAAAGCGCCTTGGTAACACTGTGTTTGTAAAATAGAGGAGAATAATTTAAGGTTAACAATTAAGAAGGAAATAATGATCGCCTTACTAAGGTGCACTGTTTGCTGGCAATATATCGTATTTCGGTAATACTTGTAAGGTGGAGCTGACGTTTACAAGGAAAAAGAAGACGGATGGGGCGATGTCTTTTCTTTAGTCCGTGA